CCAGAAACCCAGAAACCCAGAAGCTCAGAAGCCCAGAAACCCAGACATCCAGAAACCCAGAAACCCAGAAACCCAGAAACCCAGCAACCCAAAAACCCAGAAGCCCACAGGCCCCGAAGTTCCGAAGACCCTAAAGACCGAAGACCTTCAATATCCTGAAGACCCTGACAACTCTGAAGACAGTATGATCTATATGACGTCATTGGTGCGTTTTACGGCGCAAATAAGCCGTTTTTCAGGGTCGAAAACAAGACTTCAATTTCGCGCTCTGGATGAATAATAGCTAATAATATCCGCTCGCGCTATTTTTGATAGTTTCTTATCGTTTCTGCTTGATTGGTGAGTTTGCAAAAGGTTTTGAAAGGAAATTCTGACGCGTACAAATAGCTCATTTGCATAGTGCAAATCTATCAAAAACAGGTTTTGGTTATAATTAAGCATTGTTTGAGAAACTCTCAAATTAACTCGATACCAGAGTAGAGAATTTTCTCGCCGATAAGCTTTATTCTTAAGTCAGAACGTTAACAAACGCAAAAGTTTTCGCTTACAACTCATTTACGTTTCTTCAACATAGTAAAATTTTACATTGCGAAAATAGAATAGACAAGGAGTTTTGATAACTCAACCATCAAATCGAAATCATAATTCGAGTAGATTAAAGAGAGCGTCTCCGCAACTTTGCTGATTATTTCTGCTTTGTTCACATATTTTCAGCGAAGCTTTTAATATCTCAAACATTTATCAACCTTAAACATACTTAAAAACTAGAGATATCGTATGAGTTTGATATACGTTTTCACATAAAAGTGCGGGACCAATTTGTCATGTTTACTGACTGTACAAAACATGCATCGACGGGCGCTCTTATATATTCATCGACATCAGAAAATGTATTGGATTTTTACACAAACAAAACTAAGCAGACGTAAACTTATTGGGCCTTGATGAAGCATCAAGCGTTGCTTACAATTCAGGCGAAACTCAAAATTGTAATATTTTTTTGTTTTACTTTTCGGTTGCGATAGATTGTGGCGAAATCCCCGCAAGCGTGTGGCCAGAGGAGGGAAACTTTGAAGTCCTGAAACGCTACCATATACAAATAAGTCCAACTAGTGTTTTTGCTGTGTTATGGGAAGGCTGTTAATCTTCGCATATGTGAAATTTAATGTGGAGCTCTTGTAAAAGAGGTAGCGGAACACAACTTGGTCAGTGATACAAAGTGGGACATAGGTAAATTTGACACTGTCAGTACTTCACTCAAATTGGGGCAGCTTACAACGAAACCACTTGAGCAAAATTCCAACAAACATAAACGCATTGAGTTGTGGGCCAAAAGCATAAAAAATTTCGGGATTTTCGGACGCCATTTGCCCCGCGCTACATCCGCGAAAATCGTAGCAGCATGTACACGCGTGTGCCGCACACGATGGCGCAGTTTGTTCTAAGGATAGAAAAATTGTACCACATAATAGGGACAGCCCCAATACTAGAAACGGCGCGCGCTTTCGGTCTCGGTCCCCGATTCCCCGATTGTAGCTCTGGCCATACTCGTATTCTCCGTATTGGACTGGAACTAGTTTGCAACCGAGGCGAGGAGTCTTTCAAATGTACAGTAAATGGCATTCATCTCTTTTCAATAGTACCCCCTGTATGAGCCTCCACTGCAAGCTGGTTCCAGTTCAATACCGAGAATACGAATATGGCCCATTGATGGTAATAATTTCACCAGAAATTTTAAGCATCATCATAATTACAAGAGAGTCATAGTAATCTACACTTTTAATCAATTTCGCGCATTTCACGGGAAATGTCGGCTAATCCACTTCAGATCCCAAAAGGGCAATCAATTTCAATTCTTTCGTTTCCCCTCTCCTTCTCTAGTTGCCCAATTTTCATTCATACAAGTAAAACATTGCTGATGAAATCACGCTTGAAAGATAATATATACCACAAAACGGAGGAACAGGGGCTGTCGGAAGTCGTTCCGCCACGACCTGAAAAATGTTTCCTGCTAGTTTTAGCATGCAAACACAGGCAGATGCAGGCAGATGTGAATTACAGTATTTTAATTGGTTCTTCGCGGGTTCTACGTCACATAAAGAAAATATTGTTCGGCGCTTTTAGTTGCGGTATTGAAATGTCAGGAAGAGAATCCCATGGACGGCACGCACAGACTTCTCAGTTGTCTACATCAGGATCCGTCGCTGTGGCTATGTTTAACTGCTACCACAAAATCATGAAAACTTTAACGCGGTGAAGCCCGATAAATTGGAAGAGGCTGGCAGTGGTTGAATACCATGGTGAGTGTGTAAACTAACGCGATTCGATCGCGACTTGTCAGAAACCATGTCACACACTCTCGTAGGAAATAGATTCGAAACAGTTTTAGACTTTATATTCGATTCTCGTTTATGTAGGCGCGAAAATATTAAAGAGATTTCAGTAGTTAATCTGGGAAGGAATTGTGAAATGGAGAGATTTTTGCAAATGGTTTTTGCTCTTTGCTTTAGAAGGAAAAAAAACCTTTTCTGTAAGTCAATCGGTAACCGCTCTAATTCCAAGGCATTTTTATAGTTTTTATTACCTCAAGCACTTTAAGGATGCCAGAGACGCCAACAATCGGTTTCATTTGTAGCTATTTGTAGCACTAAATTTTCCTTTATTCTTTGGTCTGCGAATTCCGAGACACGGGAAGATCTACATTGAAACAATTTTGCGTTTCACTGTTGTTTATTTGCAAAGCAAGAAGAAAATTGAGGAATACCTGTTATCGACTACAATTTTTCCTAGAAAACCGCGAGTTCATAACCTTCGGATATGGATGTCTGGCAAACCCTTAGCTCGTAAGTGACACGAAATCCTCAGGCATATAAACATGTATTAAAGCAGAAATTCAAAATTAGTGGAACAAACCGTCACGGGTTTTTGACACAAGGTGAAAACAAGAGAGGATGGTCTCCTAGTAATATTAAATTATTGATGGCTTTCGTAAGCCTGAATATTTTAATATCACAAAGAATCAGACAATGTCTTGTTTATTTTGGGTATCTGACAGCCGTGTGACGGCTTGCATAGAAATCCGCAGAGTGTATCTAATTGTCGAGAGTCGAGAGTCGAGGGTAAAATGTCGAGAGTCGAGGGTAACATGTCGTGGGTCGAGGTTAACTTAAAAAATATATTAAAATAAAGTGAAAAATAAAATATAAAAATGAAAATATAGTTTATATGAAATAAATTGCTGAAGAAATCAAGACAGAATTTTCTTTCGCCAGCTTTTCTTTTTTTTTTTTGAGTAAAGCGTTGCGTGTCTTGGGCGGTGATACCAACAGCGCTGTCTGTACTGTCACGCAAACGTAAACTCTTATCAGAGGAAACATGCGCGCTAATTTTCATTTCTCGATATTCACGCTTATTATCTCCCTTTAGGACTGTAGAACATTATTATAAACCTATAAAGACCTTGAGTCATTTCACACCCTAAAGACTTGCAAACGAGTAATAAGCTATTAATCGATTCCAAGGAAATGCAATCAAAAGCAGAATAGCTTAAGCACATCAATTCGATTGAATTTCGTACAACTTCAAATGCTGAACATTTAGCTCAATTGCAATATAGTGAGTGTATCTAATTGTCGAGAGTCGAGAGTCGATGGTAAAATGTCGAGAGTCGAGGGTAACATGTCGAGGGTCGAGGTTAACTTAAAAAATATATTAAAATA